ATAGAGTTGGCAACCAAATTTTTTCATAGTAAAATCTTTTAAGAATATCCTCGGGGGCGGAGCTACGTCACGGACGTTCTACGTTGCTAAGACGCGCACCACTGTACCACGTATTTCTATGGGCTTTTTGCGCGCTGCTGTGGAACGCCGGTGGAGCCGGTGAAAACTCGAGAAAACAACACAAACTCAACTTTGAAGTAATCCTAAACAACCAAATTCATATATGTTACACACGTAGGAATAATCTTGTTACACTGTTCAGGGGACTCTCAACAACCATCGCAAAGTACCGTTTTCTGCGAGTTTTTGGTCTTTGTTGTCACCGCGAGGGTTGCCAGGCGGTAGAAAATACCCGGATGTCCGCTCCTGAGGATACCTTGGCTGGTTCCCGCCTCAAGTGTCATAGCGTACCTGCCATTCGCAAAGGACGCCAGGAACCAGCGAAAGAGGATACCTTGATCAAAAGAGGTATATTTTCAGAGTTCTGTCACTGAGGGCGCATTCAGTTTGCTTGTTGTCATAGTAACACAGCGCGACGAATATGGCGGTCGGCAGCATGGAAAAGTGGCGAATAAGTGTGGGAATTCGTCCATATTCTTCCGAATAAACCATTTTCTGAGATACTATGGATGCATGGACACCTGTTGCAGAGATATATATCTTTATCCCGTGAAAAGATTATCGCCTTGTAAGTATAAGAATAGGAATCTTCACTGATTGTCAGACGGACAACTGGCAAACGTTTTGCCTCTGTACTGTGAACAATGGCGCGGATAAAAGCGATGACAGATTTATAGCATATGGTTTGACCTCTTGGTTGTCAGCTTTCATCGAAGTCATTTGATCGGAACCAATTGTTGCCTATGATAATACGATGTGTATTGAAGATTTTCAAATGACGTGTTGTTGGTATGTGGTATTTATTCCAAATACAATAGCCACATCGATGTAAACAACTTTGTTTACGTGACCGTCATTGCATGGTAGGCTGAATACCTTGTGTTGTAAGTGTATCCAAAACGCGTCCGAATTGGGCGTCGCTACATGGGGGGTGAAAATAGTCACCAAACGAAATTCCTAAACCACAAAAAGCACTGTGATTCGTTGTCGGTGTAACCCTAAAACTTTGGAGGGGTACTGAAAAATTGACAAGATGTTCATCAAGACCCTACATTCACTTGAAGTCTGAAATGCAAATAATTCGATCAGTACTATTAATTACATTTTCATTGCTATGCAATTGACCACTGATTCAGATGCTCGCCAGTCATCACCAAAACTATGGAAATACTTGTCTAATAAATGTATAATAACACTACCGTAGTTACCATTTTAAACAAAATATCCTAAGCTAATTTTGAGTCAGCTCCTGTCGATGGATGGTTGATTTAAACTACTGTAAAGGGGTTAATTATTCACTGGGTTTGAATTTTGATTATTTCGCTGACTGGAAAATGCGCTAAATTAAAACCCAGTGAATATGTAAAATTTAGCATAGAACACATTATCTAAATGATAAAACTGTGAATTTAAAACCCACTGAATGTGCCTGAAATGGTAAATCAGCGAAATTTAAACCCAGTAAAAATTAGTCATTATGCAATATTCATTTCTTACTTTTAAATATAAATATAAAAATTTCAAAGGCATTGGGGTATATGTTAATAAATATTCATACCAATCATCAATCTATTTATTTATTTCATTTAAAACCACAACAGTTTTTTGACAGTTTTCGATGACTTGTGACAACCGATTTATCGCTCTTCAGTCCAACAAACTACATGCAGGTAGTTATACTAATTAACTTGTTTGTACCAAGAACATGTGCTCTTTAAACTAAACTGTATTTGTTCATCTTAATACCAGCTAGTTCAGAATGGTTGATGATTTGACAGAATTTGGACTGCAACGTCTTTTCAACCCAGACAACACAGATTTCTTGCCAATTGAAGAACAGTTGAAGTTCTACAAACAAAGAGATCTCAGTAAAAGTAAATTTTATAAGACTGCTGCTAGAATATGGGGAACAAGTGGCAGGAGCCGAAAGAGACTAATTATTGCACCTCCCATGGAGACATTCACTTCACCAACTACTGTAAGATTGAAACCTCTGGAGCCACAAAGATGTAAAGGTGACAATGAACAGAGGGCTTTGACAAACACAGAAAAACTAAAACATCATGAAGAAGAATTAGAAATTAAAGCAAAGACACTTAGAACTTGGTATGAAGAAAGAAAGGAACTACGACAGAGCTTGGAAAATTTGGGACTCAGTGAAAGTTGGTTAGCAAGTAAACCCGACAAAAGCCCATTGGAGCAAAACTTGTATCTGAAAATGCTTGGGAAATCTCACGAAGTGCTGCCCAAGGTGAGAAAATCAAGGTTCTGTAACAAATTATTGTCATTGAACATTCCGGGTTTTGTCTTGTTTTCTATAAAGTCCTAATAAAGCAATCTGTTTGCTTTATATTTTATCCGAGGAAATAAATTAGAATGTATGGAAGAACTGCATCTCTGGAATAATCCATAATGGACAACATTCTCATCATATTCATATTCAGTATTTGTAAGTGGTTAGTCAATAATCTAGTATTGAAAAATCAAACTGTGTCTAGAAGACAACCATAATAGTGCTTCTTGATACACAAGCGAATATATTTGAAACCAGGCCCAATAAATCTAAATTGTCAATTTATTGTTGTTAAAAAGTGTTTGTTTCAACAACATCTGTTATACTGTAATACATGGAGAACAGATCAGATGATTAAATTATCAGTTGATTACTGATATTTTCTTCACTTTTATCAGTTCACACACTGATTTCATTTTTAATGATTACACATAATATATAGAATTAAGCAATATATTTTTTTTTCAAACACATTCAGCATCTTAGACCTCTAGAAGACCAAGATGATATGATCCTTCCTGATTTTTCCTCAGAGTTCTCATCATTTACATCCAAAGGACCCCGTTCTCTCAGTTCCAAGATGTCTAAACATGTAATATAAAAATGTTTTGCTGTTTTCTGGTGTTTGTGTGTGAATTAAGCACTGCTGCACGTCATGCTATCATAACCATGTGTGCCTCTCACAACATCAAGCATAACAGTGCATTGTTATACATCACAAACTCTATTCAATATACTACTATGGTATGGTTTTATACCACTATACACTTCATTTATACTATAATATTTCAATATATTCTATCCAGGTTTACCAAGCTAATGAGCATAGATGATGTTCAAATTTTCTGAATCAATTGTTTTATTGCACCAATGGCAGTGAAAACAATATAATTCAACAATCCATAAAACATATCCGAAAATGTTACACATACATTTAAATGTCTTTTTTATTTCGAAAATGTACATCATATTTATTTATTTCACACTAGAACACTCCTTTATTACTATGGTTATCACAAGAATGTCACAAAGTATACATTCAGGCAGTACAGGCATCAACCTCTGCTACGTATCAGTTGATATAATAACCTTGCTGCCTTCATGCATACTTTGCTGTATTCTCTCATAATCTACTGACATATATCTATGAAAAAATAATACTGTGTACTGTAAAGTATTACTATGGTGCCCTCATGCGCTCCCTGGTCACTTCCTTTGTTTTTATATGTAATGTACCGGTACTGTGATGCTAATACTAACTATATTTTACTAACATGATCTCATATTGCGAGCTTTGCTTTGCAGTTCTATGTTCTGTCCTCTCTATTAACTCAATATTGCAGTGAGTTTAATGATATACCTGGTGTTAAGGTGGCTGATATTAGTAAACATGTTTATTAACTTGTCCCAATGCATTATAGGCAATGTAGAGAATATTCAATAAATCAAATAACATATGTTATATAACTTGTGCACAGTACTCAGTGGTCATATGGTGTTGGAATAAAGCATGATGCAAATGACGAGTCCTTGTCAGTTGTAAAATGCATTCACATTAC